TTAAGTGCCTTACCGTAACGTTACACCAATATTGTACCTAGGTACACTTAGTTAGCAATAAACGTTTTAATTTCGACTTTTACAAAAATAGATTTATTCATTTCAAATTATTTTTAAATCTATTTTAAACACTTAATTCGAAAACAATATCCTTTATAATAAATAAATCGAACGGTTACACGATCAAATACAGTAATAAATAGATTTCTTAAATAACTTTTACTGCTATATTAGTGTACCTCACTATGAAAAATCAGACTAAGTATCATTTTAACTATACAAAACTTTCTAAACACTGCAGTATGAACATATGGAATTTTTTGTTTTCATATGCGTCGTCATTTCTATATTTTGAAAGAAAACTTGCAATTAAAATATAATAAACAAAAAAATAAAACCGCAATTTCTGAGAAATTGTTCACTTTATTTTTTATATTGACTTCAGAATGTCTTGCTTCCAGGCCACGTAATATTCTTTATACTGATAAACGATGATAAGGGAGGGTAAACTAAGTTGTTTATTGGAGATGTGTGACACAACAACAGTAAAAAAAATAAAAAGTCAAAGTTCAAATGATCCTTTCATAATTAAATTGTGACTTAAGCGTAGTTTCAGCAAATATTCCGTTTGAACAAAACAATACTTAAGTAATAAATTATAATCGCTTTTTCTTAACACCAGAAAGATAAGGAGTTCACGGTTAAACCAACTGCGGGTAAAATAATGAGATATCTCATCTCAGTATTTTATTTTAATTGAATAAGTAACTATTGTTTCTCAATGCACGAATGTGAATATGTATTTCTTTTATATACAGTAAACCATCTCCAAGTATCCGGAGACTCCATTACTACCAAATCCAAAAGGCCGGCAAAATACTCGTCACTCCTCTCGTATTCTGGGTTTCCGTGAGCGCCGTTGAATACTTACCATCAGTTAATCCTGTAGATAAGACACAAGACAAGATTCTCCTGTGAAGTCGGTGCCATATGCGATTAGAAAACAGATTAACAGATCAACGAAGCCGCTTAATACAGCGAAATGACAGCCAATCACCACCACACCGATTGATTTGTAGTCATTTATTGATTATTATACAGATTTGGTGATGGTTACAGTTGGTAAGACCATGCATAATAAATATAAGTAATATGGTGGTTTTTTGTAATTGCATGTCATACACTCTTTTGGTGTATAATTAATATTATTTATTATTAATATTATAATCTACAATAGAACACACACAAACAACAGATGTTTTTAATACCTTACTCCTTTTCCTACTCCAATTTCCAATTAATTATTGACGTTGATTTCATTTGTTAATTGAAGCACGTGCCAATACGAGCATGTTATACATAAACTTAATTAGCAATAATTGATTGCAACTAATCCCACAGCAAGTCAAAACAATTTTACTTTCAAAGCAAATGCAATGTTGTAGTAATACTGATTTCTTCATAAACTGAAGACATAACAATGTAAGTGATTGATATTTTGTAAAATTGAATATGTATTATTGATTTGACAAATCAAAATCATCCAGTCCCAGTGGGCATGACAGGGCAAGAGGGAATGTTCGACTGTTACTCATTATAAATTAGCCGGGGTTGCGGGGTAAGCGCTATGAGGCACCGCGACCTCGGCCCAGAGCAGGAGAAGGAACAGGGGGTTTTTAGTCAGTAAGAGTCTGACACTCCCTCCCTCCCGGCCCTGGGCGGGAGAAGTCATCTGATGATTTTCCCCTCACAAAAAAAATCTATATGAAAACTGGTGTGACGTTATCGCTCTTGAACATGAGTATGGCGATGTCCTTTTTTCAGCAGTGATGAAAACTTTACTCGGATTAGTTATTTTACTTAGTAGTAGTACGTAGTAGTTAGTCTTCATATTACATCTAGAAACCTCAGCGAATATGTTAATAGTGTAATACTATCAGGAAATCAGCATTAAGACTGCCCACGTAATGGACCCTTTTTGTATCTTTTGCGGCTTGTAAAATACTCTTATAAAATACATAATAAAATATGTAAATATAGTCTACCTTATTAGCAGTTTTAAGACAAAGTAATCATAACAGTAACTTTAAAACTATTTGCACTAATAAGGATTATTTTTCTATTTATGTAAAACTGGTTCGAGAGTACATACCTTATTTTTTACCTCGCCTTTGATTCATTTGCATTCTTTACCTATGTGCAATGTGCAATGTGCATGCCTGTCTATCTGTAACTTGAGAAGTGTTACATAAAATATGTTTGTTGGCTTTATTTCTTAATGTTTTGTATTTTGTGTTTTTAAGTGAGCCATGCTACGGCACGAATGGGTCGGCTCGACCGGAGTGATACCACGGCCTCACAAAAAACCGGCGTAATACAACCACAGGAGGCTTCCCTTACCTCATCCCCATATGTCCAAATCCCTAATCCCCAAAAGGTCGGCACACGTAACTCCTCCGTTGGTGTCCAATGGGCGACGCTAATTGCTTACCCTCGGGTAATCCGATTGCTCGATGCCGTCCTATCACATAAAAAACAAATATTGGTAGGAGAATAGATGACCCCCTCAAAAAAAGGATTAATTAAGAAAGTATCGTTTCTAATGGCATTGAAATCTTCTTCAATATTAGATACTATTGAAATGGAAATGGATGCATAATCTTGGTGATTAATGCTCAATCCTTATCAGTGTGAGAAGAGGCTTTTGTTCAGCAAAGCATATTTTTTTTTTTAATAAACGTTACCCCACACTAAATAAATATATTACTAAGTGCATTAATAAATGACTAACATGTTTATAGGCAAGCAAAACAGGTGTTGACTGTTAATTCAATCTAGTTAAGGGAAAAAAATGCATTAACTTATGACTGTACAAAGAGCAGGACATTTTTATATGTATTTTGTTATTTTTTATACTTATACATTCTCACTTCATAATGATTTTATACGTGTCAAATAGATTCATGAAGAATAAATGTCGTGGTGGCTACGTTAAGGCGTCCGCTGCTCATGCATAAGAATGCTGGTTCGAAACCTAGCAACTAATTTCTAAGTTTATTAAGACATCTAAGTGTGGGAGAGCCATGCTTAGGCATGAATGGGTTCGACCGGAGTGATACCAAGGCCTCACAGAAAACCGGCGTGAAACAACCACAGCGTTGTGTTTCGCCGTGTAAGTGGGGTTACCGGAGGTCCAATCCCTCTCCTTCCCAATACTTATATCCGCAACCCCTATTCCTAAAAGGCCGGCAACGTACTCGTAACTCCTTTCGTGTTGCGGGTGTCTATGGGCGGCGCCGATTGCCTACCATCAAGTAATCCGTCTGCTCGTTTGCCGATTTATACCATAAAAAAACTGTGAATAAAAAAAAAGAGCAATGGTCAAACCTTTTCCTTGTGAGAAGCGGCCTTTGCTCAGCAATGGGCACTTATAGGCTCATGATATGATGATGATAGTGATATAACGTTACACCTGTTATTATTCGAAAGAATAAGCATTAAGTAGAAGTTTAGCCTTTTTTGGGGATATTCACGAAAAAAGTCACATTGGTACTTGCCAGGTTTCAAACCCACACCCTCAAACACGAAAAGAGTATCTACATACGTTATATCATGCTATAATGTAACGCAAAGTATGGAAATTATATATATATATATATATACAAGATTGTTTGTCCATAAGTCTTGTATTAATTATCACTATTGCTTAATTACTTAGGCGCTTAATCAAAAAGATTCCACCAATTAAAGTCAAGTTCCTAGATGGATAAAAACCGAACGAAGGCGCAATCCATTAAAAGTCGAAATCGTTTATTCTAGTTAAACCATAAATATATAATTTTGAAACGTCAAAATGCATTAAGGAAAGACTCCATTTACGATGACTTTATTTTTGTAGTAATCGACGGGTAGCAAATTCTTGAGAAATTACTAATTAATTATTTACACTAGTAAAGTTTTTATAACCCCACCTTTTATTTATTTTGTGAGTATCCAGATAGTTGTCGACATACTGATATCTCAGTTGAAATGAAAACATTTATTGTCGTCTTAAACGTATCGACACACTATGGTGTAATGCTGCGCGGATATTGAAGCCGATGAAACGTACAATGTTTTCGTTTGAGCCAAAGACACAAAAAGATCTAGGTAAAGCACAAAACTGGGATTGTGATAATGATATCGATATAATATTAACATTAATGAAATCTATGAATAATTTACTAAGTTTAAGAAAATTAAAATAAATATTTAGCTTTGCATTTTTGCTGTATTAAGTAAATTTTAGCACCAAAAAATACTTGTGTCAAATGTGTTCTGAGGACACGTTACCTTCAAATAAGGACACGGTGAAGGAAATGCGCCTATGAAAAAAAACGACCCACAATATGTCAACAATGAGTTTCACAATTCATCACAATAAGACTGTGTAAAAAATTACAGCCGTGAAAGGAATTCGATCTCTGTTACAGGTTTTAAGCTCGTTCATTTTCATGAAATATACCTATTATGCAGTAGGTACGTGTATTTGTTATTTTCCTAGATACCAATAAACAAAATAAAGACTGTGTAGGAATGGGTCGTCTGGGCTGGCTAGTCCAAAGTGATCCGACGTCCTTGGCCACAAAGAAAACCGCTGTGTAAAAACGCACGAATTGCGTTTCATTTTGTGAGTAAGTTTACCTGAGGTCTTTCCCTTCTCCCATGCCTGATCCTAAAAACCCTAACCACAACCCTAACCCTAGCAATTGTAGGTAACTGATTGCCTATCATTAGGTGATCTGTCTCGTTTACCGAACTATCATATAAAAATTAAAAACAATAATATAATATTTACATGGAAAAAAAATAATGTAAAATATACGAAAAAATACGAATTGTAAAAAAATACTTAAACACTAATATACTGTACCTTATCGAAACTACTCGTGGTCGTCACATCAGTGAGTGATGATCCTAAGACCATGTGTATATAACGCGGGAACTGGTGCGGGATCTTCAGTGTCGGATCGTCATTGGTCGTTACCGCTAGTATTATACAAAGTGCTACAAAAATGATGCTGAAAGCTATTGTTTTCGCCACATTGGCAGTGGGTGAGTGCACATTCTTTTTTTGAAATTGTGACATTATCTATAGAAAAAAAAAAACAATAACTCTTAATTAAAAAAAAAAAAAAATTAAATGATGCACCTATCTATAAAAGTTTTTTTTAATGTAATGCGGATGAAGACTTTTTTATTTGATTGTGTTTTTTCGTGTTTTGATTAAATTAATAAAATTAAAACTATCTGCAATTTAAAAAATTAAATTAAATTATGCGCCTATGTATTAAGTATGTAATGTTTTTGAGGGTAGTGCAGATGGGTGTTTTAAAACCCGATAATATGTTTTATTGCGTGTCTTAATTCAATTTATTAGGTACAATTTGCTTAGTTAATTTATGACGTTGCATATTCCATAATTATATTGATTTCACATTATGATATACTGATTATCGAACTGCAACCGTATTCCTTCGCCGGGCTTTTCCGGAATAAGCAATAATGTACACCTATATAATCATCCGGAGCAGGAGAAGGCACGGGATGGTTTTTAGTCAGTAAGTGTCAGAAATTCTCTCTCGCTTCATCCATAGCGGGAGAAGTAATCAACTTGATGATTTTCCGTCCCCAAAAAACCCTTTAAATTAAACATGTTCTTTTCACGTCACACTTTTTTTATGGAAGTGAATTAATTTTTAATATTTATAAGAAGAAGTAGGTATACTGTAACAATTTTAATGTTTCCTTCTATACAATTATTCTGTTGCTAATAATTTCTTAAATGAAGGTATTTGAACTAAAACCTCTTTAGAGGTAATTATAAAAGTATCAAGTATTTATTTATTTTTTAATAAATGGTAATTATTTAAAAAGAAAATTAGTAAAAACAATATTATGATTCTATAAGATAATTTTAATAATAACATAAAGTCAAAATCAATTACATTTTACTGACTCAGACCTATATGAAGAAATAATTAAAAAAATATGCACTCAGTTCCTTTATCTCATTTAAGTACTTCAATTGAATTTTAGATTGGTGTGCAACCTATACTAATCCAATTTGTATGTGTTTATCAATCAATCAATCAATCAATGTTTATTAACGTTAACTTTGGAATATAAAACATATATATAACTAACTTCTTCATAAGTTTGATTAAAAACCTTTTATAATTTTCAGAAATGAGACTGTAGAAACAGACACATAGATTTTTTTTCTTTATTTCCTGGTCATCTTTTTTTATTTATTTATTGAAAACTATTGTGTTCAGATATGAAATACGTTTAAGTTTCAATATTTTATTATACATCTATATAGATTTGATACACAAAAAATCACTACAAACAACAGCCTTTTTTTGTGCGGGGAAAATCATCAAATGACTTCTCCCGCCCAGAGCCGGGCGGGGGGGAGTGTCAGACTCTTAATGACTAAAAACCCCCTGTTCCTTCTCCTGCTCTGGACCGAGGTCGCGATGCCTCATTGCGCTTACACCGCAACCCCGGAACAGCCTGGAGTATTCATTCATATAGTTCTTGACATACCTTATTTTGAAAATGGAAAATCTTTCTGTGGCTTCTCCCGCCTTGGGTAAGGCGAGAGGGAGCGTCAGACTCTTCCTGACTAAACACCACTCCGTTGCTTCTCCTTTAATTCAAACGGCTACTCATTCATGCCGTAAGTTATTAAATTAAATTAAAAATCTTGATTTCTGACGAGAGATCTACGTGTAATATAAGTGTTTATAATTTGTTATCCTAATGTTACGTAGAAAACATTAGTTAATATTTATCAACTACTAGCTGCTGTCAAACGGTTTCACCCGCTGCTCAGCTCCATTTGATAGTAGCGTGTTGTTTTATAGCCTATAGCACTCAGGAACATTGTAGCTATCTATCAGTGTACCTAAATAATTTTGGCAATCCGACCAGCGGTTCCAAAGACTACCCCCTACATACAAACTTACAAGTTTTACCTCTTTATAATTCTAGTATAGACTAGTATAGAGGTATAGATTGATATGGACATCAGGACGCACATGTCTACGAGTCCAGTGTCTAATAAATAGCCCACAATAAGCTAATAGGCTATGACGGATACAAAATGATGCATAATTGAAATATGACGGTGTCATAATGTTTATGTAACAACGAATAAGATGATGCGTGTGACATAATTGATTGATAATGTTTATATACAAATGGAATCCTGTTTTTGTTTACATAGAATGTTTATCGGTTATGCTTTTAGCAACACTTTCGTAAAGATAATAATAAAATTAATGTGTCGAGTGACGATAAAAATTGTCAGACTTGGATTATTTTTTGTATTATAAACTACTAGCTTCCGCCTGCGGTTTTGTCCGCAAGGTACCTATGTTGATAAGGTGCCTATGTACCACATAGGATGCTTGTATTCAGATTCTAGGGTATCATTTATATACCAAATATAAAATGTATTTATAGGTATACCAAATTTCAACCAAATCGGTCTCGGCTAGACCGTCGTTTTGCGTGAAAAAATAACAAAAATATATCCATCCATACATTTTCACAAACTTTCACATTTATATTATTAAGTAGGATTTATATCGAAGAATACTAAAAAGATCTATTTCACAATCCTTAAAAATGATTTTAACATTTAAAAAGGACAAAAGAGTCCATCCTCTGCGCAGTATGTACCTTCTTAATGACTTCGCAAACGAATCTCTTGGTTAAGCCGAACTACTTTTCTAAAACAAAAATGGAAGAGACCCCTCGTAAACGATTTAAGCTCTATCTCCAATTAAATGTTTACTAACCAAACTTATTTATTTTATTACTTAATTGTTACATTCAAATTTTAAAATTATCTTTTAATTATAAAAACAGTCATCGAAGTGTATAGTAGACTTCACTTCTAACCTACACAATTTTTATATAACTATTTCACAATAGTACATACGTATCTTCACTTATGAGTGGAGAAAATCATCAAATTCCTTTGTTCTCTTCTGCCCTCGTGAAAGAGAATATCAGACTCTTTCTGTCTAAAAATCACCTCGTTACATCTGCTGCTACAGCCCGGCCTGTACATTATTAAGCTTGACCCGCAACCCTCTCTCTTTCTAGTAATAACTATAGTAGTCACGAAAAATACAATTATTTTCCTTAATGCAGGAACGCGGAAAGCACGGTCTAAACAATCTATCTGAGCTACAATTTGCAATGATCATAACTCACACTTAATAAATACTAGGAAGTCACTCTGGGAATGTCTATACAAGATCTAAGCTAGGACAATTGAAAAATTGCAGCGTTTGCAGTTGAGCTGCAGGCCCAACGACCTCGAGGCACATTTTCGCTCATTCTTATTAATTTATTAACAAGTGCTCGTTAGAACAAGTAATTAGTTTCCTTTAGTTACAACATCGTTTCTTAGATCGCAGATATATGAGAAGATAAGTTAATTATATAATTATTGCATATTCTTTTGGTTTTCGCAACTGTTCGTCCGGTTACCGATCTCATTTAGGTAGTTTATACGTTAGCTGGAGTCCTATGAAGATATCTACTTACTTAATGATTAAGTGGTTGATGATGACACTTATAAGGAAATAACATAGAATGTAAGGAAAAGAACATGTTTACAAGAAAGTCAATAGGAAGTTAATTTACCTACTTACTAATAAACCAAAATTTGTAATACTTAAGTGGTTTAATATCTGTGGCCTTTCACCTAATAGACAATTCCTTTAAGTGCCTAAAGGAAGAATGTTGCTAATATCCCCATATATTTCCTATAACAATCAATTAAGTAGCTAATGAGTTTTGTTTAGGACTATCGAGGACGTGACACAAGCCGATAACCAACTAAAACTTGCTTCATACTTACCTACATACCTAAGTAGGTAGAAAATAGGTGCCTAGACAGGCAGTTGATGTCGGTCGTTAAAAAATTAACTCACTTGAGTGTCAACAATGTGCAATTCCGGGAAACAATAAATTGTACAATAGCTCTTTTACTGCTTCAATCGATTCCCGCCTTCCGCCATCTTATCTGTCAAAAGGCCTTTGAACTTTGTCAATAGATACTATCGAACATTAGTTTAATAATTTTGTAAATAATGATAATAACAACACTGTGTTAGTTGTATTTCCAGTCTTAATAATGTACCTAATTAAAACGCTAGTTTTGCAGGAAAAAATTTTAAATTGTTTGTTCTCGACGAGATTCCGAATATACTTATATAATGTTTCGAATAATTAAGAAATAGTTTTTTTATTAAACGTAGTATCTAGACAGTTCTGATGTTCTTAAGTTAAAACTACCAAATTTAATACTTTGTATACCTAATGATCGGTATGTTAATAATATCAATTACCTACATACTTAAAGCTTGCAATAAATTATTCTTACAATACGGGTAAATATCTAATGATGGAAACTAGTGAAAAACTTCTGTAGTAGCTAAATAAATATAGCATCTCCATAAAAACTTGATTTGCTGAACGCATTCAACGAAGATACGCATTCAGCGTTCACAGCTTTGGTTGGTAGTTTGATACACACTTAATCCATCGCATTAACGAAATATAAATAAAATACTCGTATAAGAATCAGATCCAACGTTCGTGCAGGCGTACCTATCCTATCGCTAACTTTTTATCATATTGGAAATGACCGTATGATCCGTAAAATAAATAGCTATATTGTCACTAAGTTGGCACTTAATTTACTATCGATATTCTTATTAAATGTTTAACGAATAAGTACCTAGATGGTTTTTTAACTTCTCGTGCTTAATTAATTAGAATAAGTATTTCTTTTGTTATTGTTTCAGTAAAAATTATCTATCAAATGGCTTCTCCTGCCCTGTGGTTTTAGACTCTTACTGACTAAAAACCCCCCGTTTCTTCTACTGCTGTAGGCCTAGGTCGCAAAGCCTTATTGCGCTTACCTCGCAAACTCCGACTCAATTGTTTCATATCTAGATGTTGTAGTTATCATCCGATTATAAAGGTTTTTGCTTCCGGTTCTGATCTCAACCAATTGTTACCTTCCTAGAAATTGTGTTAATTAACAATAGCAATATGATAAACATTATCACAAACACACAATAACCCCTTATAGTTGACAAAAATGTTTTTTTTTCAGTCTATGGAAGACCATATTAAAGATAATAGATGCCATTAGTACCTACTATCTACTTATACTTATCAACAACAATTTATAATATTAGTTTGGATTATAAATAAGTTATATATTTATAATCCAAACTAATATTATAAATGCGAAAGTAAAACGGTTTCTGTGAAATTTGGTACAGACATAGGTAGTTTGGAACTCGAGAAAGGACATAAGATAGATTTACCTTTTTTTTACCAAATATCTGCAGGAAGTCACTATTCCACGCGAACGGAGTCGCGGGCAAAAGCTAGTTGATATTAATTTATAAATTATATTACTGCATGACGTCTTCAAGCTGTGCCCTACTGGGTCCATATTGAGTCTATATATCCCTAAAATGTACCACCTCCCATTTAACATTTGGAATGCTAATAAAGAATTGTAAATGAAGGTATCGTCTTTAAATAAATCTGTCTTCGAGATCAATGGCGATAAAAAGAAATCTATACGAACGACGTATTGTACACCAATAAAGTGACATGAGGTCACTTGTACTGGCAACAGCACACTCATAAAACTTTCTTTATCCACGAGTACATTGTCAGTTCGCGTGTATTAAACTAGAGTAGTTATGTATGTTCACAGTCGGCCACTCCACTTGTCCCCACTTCCTGCGAGCACTACATCAACCCATTTACCAATTTACTCGATCAAGACTATCCTTTGAACTCTGGCCACGGAATGACCGCTGCGTATTTGAGACTATGGTGACGTGCTGCACCGATGCACTGGTCAAGGCAAGCAAATTGATTTAGGAAAAACCACTTAGCTGTAACTCCGGTTGTGGCTGTGTGAATTTGTTCATTCATAGACGTTGTTGCGAAGTGTAGTTCGTCTTGTAATGATAGAGTAAGTATTCGTTTTTGACTTGTCACAAACCCTATCGGGAAAATAGGCGGGATAATAGCCCAGATCGATTTACTAAGTTCCTAATAAAAACTTCATTCTCCTTTATATAAACAAGATTAATCGTTAGTTTATACCACTGAGTCAGGTTTTGTATTTTAAATCTTATGATCACCTACCTACACCGCTTTCAACACTAAGATTATCGAGATTGATTTGACAACCATCTTTCATTAGCGCTCTCTGATAAAACTGTACTTTTTGGTGCTCATTGCGACTATCTGTGACCGTAACTTTTGTTACTGTCTCTTACTCATGATGCGCTCACTGAAAGTGTTTATGAGTGAAAAATCGCACGTACATGAATACAATAAAAAAAAATAAGAAGAAAATAATTAAAAAAGTCACTAGTCGCGGTAAATAATTGCAACCCCGGCTATAGGGGCCTTAAACTGCAATTTTCGACATACCAACATAGCTAGCAAAAGTGAGGAATATAGATAGCATTAACCCTATTATCTATGTGTTCAAACTTTTGTTCTTAATATTGTAAAACTGTAACTAATAAGCAAATTTTTTGGATACTTACAAATGCCTCGTTAGGGAAGCCACATTGAACGTACTTACCTAAACATATAAATTTTGATTTATATATTATTTTGATATATATTCCACATTTTAGAGACATTTTCGGAATGATAACACTACCTATATAATATTGTTTTCTTATAATACACAATCGTTAATAATTTATAACTAATGTAGGTAGGCAAATATATAAATAAAAACACATAGATAAGTGTCCCAAATTATAATTCTCGGTAATTTCAATACGTTTTACAAACAATAATAAGTTTTTTGTCAATGATATAACATTAATTGGAATGTTTTTAATTCCTAAATATGTAGATATACCATATTGTATAATTAACACGTCACCTAACAATTATAAGGAGATAACATTATAAATATGTTGTGCTAAGTAGATATTTAGGTAGATACATGCAAATATCACACTAATGAAGTAATGACGAATAGGACTATATTTGCCAATATTCCCTGTCAGGCTTAAAAAAATCTTTCTTATGTAAATAAAAAACCAATTCATGATTTTCTCCAAGCATTATTGAATTTTGCGTTTTTTAGTAAGATAGATAGATCTAAGGATCATGTGATGATATTCTTAATAAGTTGTTATTGTTCGTAATAATTTATCATTTATTAAACATTATTAAAATTTACCTATTGACTGTTGTATTCTTTATCTGAGTGCTCTCTTTGCCCCGCGCTGTGGTAGGTTAGCTTTAGTTATCAAGTAAAAATAACGTTATAGATAGGTAGCTACTCAGAAGTAAAGCAGCGTTGAGATAAGGGAGCCATGTTCATTAAAAACATTTACGGCTGATAGCAATACCCCAAGAGATCTCAATTTAAAAAAAAGGAAAGGAAGAGCTAATGAAATGCAATATTTTAATTTGTATATTTATTGTTCCAGTTGTCCTTGGAGATGATTTCTCATTAGGTGAAGACAAAAAGGTGCAGATGCGGGAAATACTTAGAGAATACTGCAAGAAGAACAACGCCGAAGATAAATTCGAAGATGTACAGGTAACTAGCTAATTGCATTGTCTTATCTTCAACACTAATAATATCATTAATTATAAAAAAAACAAACCTATAACAATTGAGAACAAAAGCAACAAGGAATGTTCCTATCAACGGAAGGGATTTTAATCCACAATGGGGTTTTTATTAGTGGAGTAAAACAAAACTTCCATCGGTAGAAAGATATCAAATGCTATTCATGCCTATTAACTACTTACACAAACAACATGCACACATGGAAACATGGAGGTGGCATGTCCAGACGGTCAGAATCCATGTTATTTTTTGGTCAATTCCGTCACATCATACTGTTTCTTTTAAGTTTACTCGGTCATTTTTGCACCAATTTCTGATCGCCACTGAATATTACCTTATTGATTTTAAATCAATAAGGTAATATTCAGTGGCAGTTTTTTTTGCTCAACAATTACCATCTACATACCTACTTAATGAACCGATTGTCACGTATCTATTTTATGCTTTAGAATACTAGCCTCACCTAATAAAGCTGTTGCATTCATAGCCGTCAATAAGTGCAGCGTAATATGCCTAATCATTTTTGTTTTGTTTTATAGAACGCCGGAAAAGTTTTCATTGACTGTGTCAAAGGATTGGTCGATGTACAAACACTCCAGAATGAAATTGAGGAGGCCAAGCCCAACGGTGCTCTCGACGAGGTCTTCAAGAAGTAAGTACATAACTATTGCCAGTATTGAGATGACACTGCATTTTTTATGTGAAAGAGCGTCAAACGAGCATATAGAATTAACTAATGGTAAGCAATCGGCACCGCCCATGCACTCCCGAAACACCATAGGAGTTACAAATTTGTTGCCGACGTTTTAGGGGATCTAAGATCCCCTAAAGGGTTTGAGGGTTGAGGAATATGGAGGACTGAGCCTCCGGTAAACTCACATGTTCGAGGGAACATGACTTAAGCATTGTCTATCGCCGGTTTTCTGTGAGGGTCGTGGTGTCACTCAGCTTGGCTTGGCCTGGTTTCCACACTTAATCATATAATAAGCAAACCCTTAACCATTCAATTGTGGTAATTCGAGACACAAAAGACTAACAATAGGTGCGCGAACGCCGGCGTTTGATGAATTAAAACTAAACTTATTAGCTGTTCTTTTATTCAAGGTACTGCGCTAAGACTCCTCAGCTGAAGTCTTGCATCCAGAGCCTGTTTGACGGCGTATCTCCCTGCTTGAGCAACGAGGCCCGTGAGAAGCTGCCCGTCGCCATGAACGGCACTACTCAGCTGATTGACTTCATCTGCTACAAGGATGGTGACAGGATTGCCCGTGAGTATCAACCCGTATACAAAGAAATAACTTATCATATTGTACCTATCTATTGTATATCACTCCAGGAGGTTTTACAAAAAAATGGACCTAAATAGTTACCAATAGATATCTTTTTTGTATATTGTATATATTTTATATTTTTATACCGCTTCACCGTGCTTGAATTTTCTCCTATATAGGTAAGTAGTAGTTGCGTTGACAACTAGGTATACAATTTGACATACTTGCACATACACTCAAGGACCTGGAATAACAATTTGTGGATCACCGCGTCAACTGTGAATTCCAATTTGTACCTAAGACTTAGGTCCTAGTGTTCATATGGTAGGCTAGCTCTAAGGTTGACGTGGAAGCTGGGCCACAGGGTGTGGTGTGAATTTGTTTGTCTGTTTGCGTTTATATGCACCAAAAACAAGGAGAAAATCCTAGAGCTGGCAATTTTTTTTAAAGTATAGGCCGAACACGTGTAAATTGAGGAACTTGTGAGTACCTAAAACGGATGTTTACCATCTCTCATAATATTATCGTTTCGTTTACAGTGTTCATCGCTGAAGGTGGACCTCAATGCTTCCAGAGCAAGGTTAACGACATCAGAGAATGCGCAACCAAAATCAAGGACAGCTTCCCCTCAATCGAAGCCGCCAAGAACCTAGGACTTGCGGTAGGTTCAGTTTACTGCTATAATACTAGATACAGGCAATCTTTTAAATAAGAACAGATTAAAATGAGTTGATATATAATTGTACACTAGATAGATAATTGTACTTAATCTGTTCTTTTATTAAATCTGCATCATCTGCCTAAAATAAGTTGTGGGCAGTAGGTACCTATCCCTTGTCTAAGCATCCATTTTCCATTTTTGGATTAAGGATTTTGTTACTAATGAACGTGATAGACCATATTATATTATAATGATTAAATAAATAATTTATTTTTGTACCTAATCAGGGAACCTGCGGTAAATGGGACGAGGTGACATCTTGTATTGTGAACAAACTGGAAACCTGTGAGACCCCCACTCCCGGCAACATGGCGGAATCACTCTTCAACTTCGTACGCAGAGCGACACCTTGTAACACTGTTGAGAAAGTAAGTTATAATAATATACTTACGTATTGAGTCTATAAATATCTAAAAAATCTCCAAAAAAGCTTATTATTTAAGTATGTAAATTAAATAATAATAAATCTAGTCCAAACTAATATTATAAATGCGAAAGTAACTCTGTCTGTCTGTCTTTTCTTCACGCCTAAACTACTGAACCGATTTCTGTGAAATTTGGTACAGACATAGTTTGGAACTCGAGAAAAGACCTAGGGCAGTTTTTATATCAAAAATCTTCAGGAAGTTACTATTCCACGCGAACGGAGTCGCGGGCAAAAGTTAGTATTTTTAATAAATTAGCAATTAAGCGTAGATACTTAGGCCTATAAATTGTGATGTCGGGGAAAATGCTAACCATTTTATTGTTTCTTTGTTTACAGAAGAACTGATTTGCTGCCGATTTGGGTGATCATATAAGTGCCAATAATATGTAATGTTGAAAAACATTTTCAAAAATGTAACTTTTAATACATTGATAATGTAAGATCAAATTTTCGTTGTATTATTTATCCTTACTTTCTTGATACCTATTCCCTCTTCCGTTGTACCTACCTACTGACTTTTGTGTGGGTAGTGCAACATTATCAGAACCTACGTCTGAGTAATAGCTATATACCAGTTTGAAATAGGTACTAGAACATATTGAGAGGTGTGCCAAGAGGCTCATCAACAACGACGCGCTTGAAAAGGCCCGATTTTAGATCCTGGCTTACAGGAGTTGCGAGTAGGAGATCTGGCGAGCCTGTCCGAAAAAAAGCTCGATTCCAATCCTCGAACAAGCGCAACATTGCGTGCGGGGCAAGCGTACCTACAACTTAAATGATGATTCCTCCTAGTCGTTTATTTGATCGTAGCTCCTGTCACGAAGCAATTCGCCTCCAGTTTTTGCATTAGAACCGCTAAGAAGTGGATTTCTTTGCCGGAATCTGTGTTTTCCAAAGGGTAGGTATCTAGGTTAGGTAACTTAGGTATCTAGGTTGCTCATGAGAATGCGTGTTTCATCGTAAGCGTCGCGCGTCGCATTATCGCTTACCATTATAATAGCTTTGCATTAAAAAAAACGTACAGTATTACCTAAGTGTTTAAAGGATATTGTAGTCAATACTAATTATTTGTCTGAGGTTAGAAGATGGGTAGGTACATTAGACCATGGTGGATACTGAAGTAAAAAGCCTGTGTGATATTCCAAATTGTAGATAATAGGTACCTTAGCCAAACATTCGATCGATCGATTTATTCAGCTTTTACGTAAATAAAGGGAAGCTCGAAATATATTAGTGGCGTACCGTGTTGTGTAGCAACAGGATAAACGTAGTGGTTACATACTCTTTGCAACAGGAGCCCATCGGTTCAAGAGACGATCTCCGGCCACAGTAAGCGTGGGTCTGCAATCGGCGAGTAAAGGTAGCTCGCCGCTGGACCAGAACCAGACCCGCTTACGTACCACAGACGGGACCCTATAGGGCGCCGTCTGTCTGATAAATCGGCCAAGAGCGTATCGGGCTACGCGCAGTGTAGGGTTCCATAGTTTCCAGTCTCTCACAATAAGCGTCCCCACTTAAGAGTTATTGTGAATCTTAAGACCTCAATTCAGTGTAAGTAGCAAACGTACACTGCCATCTCGGGAATTGATTTACTAATTTATACAAGAAATAAAACAAATTATCTTATAGTTTCCATCATTTATTTGCAAATATTGTAAAATGGTTATACACCACGTAGCAACATATACAAATATCTATTTAGTATTTATCTACCGGACATCGAATCTACGTTCTCCTGACATAGACAATATGGCTTCTATTGAACAATCGACAAAGCAATAGTTTTAATTTTAAAATATCGAGTCACAAATAAAAAATGAATAGGTGTTTTAGCTAGTGTGATTAACAAAATAATAGACAATTAAAATCTTTTTAGTAATCATTCAATCGATTTTGATAACTAATACCTTAGTTATAAGACAGCAATTTACAATTACAGAAATGTTGGTATTACTGATTTATTAAAATGTTACCATAAACCAATGCCTTGAGAATCAAAATCAATTGAATAAAACATTAACGGAGCCAGATTAAATGCCCAAAATTATAAGGAACTGAGTTATATAGTTTTAAAAATCTGCCTTTACACAACTACTATAAAAACAAAGTATTAAGAATTTACAACAGAACATTAAAAATGCAACATGGAATGTATAAATTAATGCAAAAATATACCTCGATTCAACGCCTTGTAAAGTCACAATAAATAACAGCATTGTCTTATTGCTATTTTCCTTAACATACATGATGATACAAACCAGTCATTAAAAAACTAGAATATAAAATGGAATATATTATTGGCATCACATATTGGCGTAATTAAACTTAATATAAAAAATAGCAGTTTTCAATATAAAATTACGTATTATCATCACAAACCACATGCTTAAAAAGCTAAAAATAATTGAGGCTTTGTATTTCTTGTATTATGATATTCTACACAGTACTATAACTAAGTCTACGACACCAAATCTAACACCGAACGGTAACTTACGCCTAAATCGATGGACAGAAGCATTAACCAATTACTAAGCGAGACTGTTTTGACTTTACACACTATTTTCAACTCTATTTCTTACAGATTAAAGTTCTAGAGATTGGACTTAGGACTTTTGTTACGTTTATAGATGTCTCTATACATCTCTTCGGACGGTCATGTTCAAAATGAACCAAACATTCCGTTTTCTTCTCTATATTTGACATTTGGGTAAAAATATTATTTGTACGCGTAAAAGCAGGACTTCTGTTGTTTAGGACTTGAAGCTAAGCGTCACGATTTCGTTGGCCACGTTTTTTGGCAAATATACTATGAGAATATAACGAACGATATGTACTTGGCGATCACAATGTATTAGGAAAACCATCGAGCTCTATGTCATTAAAAATAAAATATAGCAGCAGTTATGAACTATACTACTTTAAAAAAATATTAAAAATAACGTCACTATCATAACTGTTACATGCAGGCCAAATGAAACGCCAAATTAATAAAAAAATATACATATAATAAATACAAAAATAGCTACAACATATAAAATAGCTGATAATATATTCAGCAGATTGTCCTATAACGAATACCTGTGATAGTTAAACTCGAGCCCACTTATCCTTAGCAACTCGCAGAGGAAACGAGGAGTAATAAGTATTAGCGAATTATGTATATATAAATAAATAACTAAGAAAAATGTCGACCCTGCGACAGTACAGATTAGACCATCACCCAGCTGCCTAAGACAGTCATCATAATAAAAAAATATAGTTTTGTTCTGAGTATGCTCTTAACGTGAAAACCTCGTCACTGTATTATAAGATGTTCAGTCGTTTTCTTTTTTAAAATAACTGCCATTATCAATGCTAAAATTGTTCTGAAAAATAGCGACAAATGCAGGCTACGGTACAAGCTTATTAGCGCGAACTTAAGAATATAGTTGAATCAATTTTAGCGATTGTCAAAATTATACTAAAATTGTTTTCTAAAACCTGTTCCTGTCTTGTTAAACTATATCGCTCTCTACTTATTACTTCGTCCCTCAACAACTCGACGCATAATGTTGTTTCACAACAATCGTATACACCTTACATTAATTACTTTGTTCAATCCTTCGCCAAAAACAAATTACGTATATAAAAAATAAAAAAATGAATATGCGACCTTGTCATAAAAATTTATATAAAAAGGCATCTAAAATATGTAAAATTGTAATGGTGATTTGGACTTTTAAATTCTTTGCATTTTTTGTTTTACGCAGATGGCAGCACTAGCGGTTTTGATCGCTGTGACCTGTTGCTTTGTACCTTTTGTTTAGGTATAATAGTTTTTATAGCGTTGTTTATAATTAAAGTTAAATATAGGAGCGTTTAATATAAATCTAGTAGGTGAAGTTTAGACGAGTATCGACACAACTAAGGCCGTTAAAAGGGTTGTTGCCGTTACAGCTAGACCAGTCGCTGAGCCGGGCGCGCCCTTCTTCTCTTCCTGTAATAATTAATAAAAATACATTAACGTTACTCATTTAACATATAATAGATGAACAGAAGTAAAAAGCAAACATGATATCACTTCACAATGATTTTATCATAAACAGATATCCTCTGATAGGCAAACCAAATACCTAATAAACACCTTACCAATAGGACGAAAATTTTAAATAAAAATTAGTTGACATTTTCTAGGAAACATACTGGCCTTAACATGTTATATCAGTGCATGGTGCAAATAATAACAAAAACCTTTATACCATTTTCGTTAATTCATTGTATATTCAACCTAGCATATTAAGAAACACGTTTTTTTTAAATAGTACTTTTTTCCTTTGATTATATTAAATGTGGTTTTGTTTTAACACTCGGTTCAGTATACAATGATCGAACCTTTTCAATAACCAATGCTGAAGTAATGCAATTGAAAAATATTTTTTTCCAAACTGCACAAAGTCCAGTTTTGACTATCAAAATATCCCAACTTTTGATATTACTCAAATATTAACTTTTTGACTCAGCAAAAGAGTTTAATTTCCTTTCCATAATTATGATGAAGCTTGGTTATAAAAACGGTAGGTAAGGACATTCACGATGAATAAAATGATGGTGCTGGTATTAACTTACTGTGTTTCGACCTCTGGCCTGGGATTTTTCAGGAGCCTATTGAAACATGCAGTATATTAGTGGTTAATAGGTTAGACAGTGAGTTCGTGTTAGTGCGTGCAAGTGCAGACAGAATTAAAGTATTTATAAATAGGTCAATAAATTTGTAAATCACATTTATATTAAAATATAATTATGTACATAACTTATCTAAGTTACAGTCACAGGCAAAAATGTTTGGTAATTGATTTTTAGTTGGCGTCAGACAGAGTTTCCACAATTATGATTAATTTTGTTACAATATATTACTTAAAATTTCAACGTTTTTCATTTATTACAAGCCTTTATTTAAACAGTAACATATGTATATTTATAAAGTAGAATCTTGGAACTAAATTTTGAAGCAGATAATTTCAATGATTCAGTAGAAATGTGAGCTTGTTTAATGTTTACTTTGTATGGCAAGTTCTAAAACTTCCTTGTAAATCCATAAATAAGTCTCTAAAATGTCTCTGAAACTTATAGACCACAATTATAAAAGTATATTTTAAGTTTCTTTTATTTTAATCTGCGTTTGTAAAATTAAGTAGGTACAAAAATTATGACACAATTTAAATTCATAGTGAAATAAATATAAATACTTTTTGCGTGTGACTTTAGGATAGAAATCCATTGTGCATTGTAATAATAAAATTAATAAGTTGTTAAATATGGATATTATAATTAATAGACATATTTAGAATATGAAGTGGAGTTTACCTTGATAAATTGCTTGCAAGGAGTGGCTTTTCTGATGAAGTTGAAGAGTGAGTCCAAAATGTTAGCTGAGGTTGGCTTGGGGCATTTTTCCAATGTACTGACCATACACTTCTGTAAGCCGGTCATTTGGTCACATTGCTTTTCCTGTAATTTAAGAATACGAAATTAATTCTACTACTTTTACTGCACGGTTAACGTGGTGGCTCGGATACAAGCTGCCGTGCAACGTGTCGCAGGTCTGATACCCGTAAGGAACTACTCTTTGTGTGATCCACAAATTGTTGTTCCGGGCCTGAGTGTGATGGGTATGTGAGATTATAATAATATTTTTGTAAACGCACCCATGGCATAGAAGTAAATTTAAATTATTTAAACATTTTTTTTTTAAGAAAACGGGAAACAAGTTAAACCCTTAAACAATGTATAGAGGAATGGCGGTCGCTGTTAGACTTTAAAATATTTATGTTGGCATGCTGGTAGTAAAAGACTTCCATAACTGATTACAAAATGAGTAACCTTGGGTCTCAATAATGTATTCTCAATACTCTTTTCATTGGATTTCTAACTGTATTATATTGATATAAAGTAAAAAATCCAATGACAAAAAAATACACATGACCTGTAATTTGTCAGTAAAAAGTTTAAATAAAGTATGTATTACCTTAAACTCGAGCTCCATGATGCCGCTTACGGAGATGTTCTGAATATTTGCCTGCGTTTTGTTATCGAACACTGTGCTGAAGCACTCCTGTATTCCGTCCTGTTGGTCTTGGAAACATTCCTTACCACCTTCGGCGATGAACACTGAAATATAATTATTAAGGAGCTGTTAGGTATTTTCGTACATCATTGTAAAGCCGACCGACCTAAGGAACGAATACCCTTGCGGATGCAAACGTATTCGTTGCGCACCTGTGGCATTGGCGTTGCATACTAAATGCGTTTGTAAATCGCAAGTATGATAGGGTTCCTAGATAGTTACAACTCGTATGCAATTGTTTGTCTTTTCATAACGGTTTAATTACCTGTAAAGCACATTTATCAAAGAAGATCATATTATAAAATATTACGCTACAACGAAAGGGGAGCTGAGCAGTGGCTTCAACAGCACCAGAGTAGATAGAAAACGCTTATAATCTGAATTACCCACACTTCTATGTAATTGTATCATCCATCATGTAACTTGGCAATCTGTATATTACATGTCTTTTTAATATTATGGTGACATTCAGAAAGTTTGGAAGTGGTTTTATTGTAATGGAAAACAATTTTTTTATATTAACCTTTATCCATGTCATACAATCACATGTACAGTTTGTAGCACGTGTTTACTACACACACACAGACAATATAAGGAATTTTAATTAGAGTTTTATTAACTCATCGAGTCTGTTTTATTCTCTACAAGAATTTCGGCACATCTATACGTTATCAAGTGTAATATAAATAAGGCAAACAACAAAAGTAAAGTTTTACAAATCGTAGAAAAAACGTGTCACATAGAATTTAAGTTAATTTAAATCAAATCAAATCTTTATTTGTAAAACATAGGTATAATTTTTTTTTTTAATTTAGTAGTTGTTTAAGTAATTTAAATGTGACGAAATAATTCTCGTCGTCTTCTCTAGATGGCGCTGTTTTCGAAGGTCCGTATAAAAATACAGTACACCGAATTAAATTGTTATATCCTCGCTTGAAGAAACTTACGGGCAATTCTGTCACCCTCTTTGAAACAGATGAAGTCGGCTAATTGTTCCGTGACGTTGTACATGACGTTGAAGTTTTTCTGCTCCGCGGGTGAGAAGCAAGGCTTTACCATCTCGGTCATGTTGCGGAAGCAGTTCTTGAACTGAGGCGTCTTCGCACAGTATCTGAAAAATAATATTAAAATATTTATTATTTCGCTTGACACACATATGAGTTTTCTAGTTGGGTGAAGTACAACGGGGTGTATATTGTGGGATATCTGAAATTCCGACTTCTAAGAGTCGCTAACGATAGGCAATATCGTGCTTGAACTTCAGCTGTGGAAACCGATTTCAATAACGCGTATTAAATATTTTCATGAATGCACTATGTCATTTTAAGATTAGTTATTGATCAAGTCATATCTTGCATTTTAATAGTTACAGAATTTTTTACTGTTATCCATACTGTTACTCACAAAATTAAGTTTCTTCCAATAAAATTAAATTACAAAAGTGGTAAGTTTAACAGGTTTTTTCAATTAATTGTTTAATAAAAACTTCAAAAATCCTGTGCTATATGTACAATGTTTAATTCAAAAATCCTGTACGGGATTAGATTTCGAAATTAATCTATACTATTACTTATACTAATATTATAAAGAGGTAAAATTTGTAAGTTTGTATGTAGCGGGTAATATTTGGAACCGCTAGTCGGATTGCCAAAATTCTTCCACTGATAGATAGCTTCAATGTTCCTAAGGGCTATAAAACATCACGCTACGATCAAATGGAGCCGAGCAGCGAGTGAAACTGCGTGAGAGTAGCTAGTTGGTTTAATATTTTGTTAAAATTAAGGTTTTCATACCTGCTTGTACCTACTATTATATTATACTAATTTCTCGAAATGATGTTGGACAGAAACTGTAGAAAACGCTTAGATAACGTTTGTGTGTTTACCAACAGATCTCTCGTGCGACCCGGAAAAACAATTTAGGCCAAACAAACATTTCAAAAGCAAATATTGCGTTATCTTTTGCATCTACAGTGTTAAGTAATGTAGTCAGATTAACTAATCATAGAAACATGGACTTACCGGGTAAGTTCGGGTAACTTTGACCCTGCGGGGTAACTTTGATCCAAACCCTTTTTAACCAATAATAACTGAGAACCAAACATATATTCGTTTTTCATTGGTTCGAAAATTTGGATCAAAGTTACCTCCCAGGGTCAAAGTAACCCGAACGTACGGTAATGGTACGGTATCTCTTTTAAAATTTATATTTGTTTTAACTGTTGGATTAATAAAAAAATTATACACTTACTTTTTGAAAACTTCGTCGACCTCACCAGTGGGTTTAGCATTCTCGATTTCCTGCTGCAAAACTTCCATGTCCACCAAAGAGTTGAAGCAACTCATAAGGTCGGTAGCGGCTGTCTAAAATAAAAATAATATAAAAACAAATTAATATAATACATTTCTAAAATATTATTTACGGATAGATCTCCTACGTGGTTAAGGTTCATGTAGCAATCTGGTAAATAAGGACCTCGCTTTTAATTCATCAAACCCAAGCGAACGCCGGCGCTCGTCACGATTGAGACAATTTGTCATTTTACTCATGCTTGGCCAACAGCCAAGATTAAAAATTAAAAAAAAGAAACAGTTTCGTTCTGTGATTAGGATATTTTTTGTACTTTGAACTTCGAACTATGTCCTTTAGTGCAAAATTATAATCTGTAGTGCTTTTAAATAGCCATATGATAAAAACTTCTTTTTTACTGACCTACGTAAGACTTAATACTTTGTTGTACATATTTCTTGTATCCTATGCAATTAAAATGTACTTATGAATATTTATTATGGTGATAAATTATATTATTTATACACAAACTTAATAGAAAATATTAATTTAAGTCTATTATTTTAGGAACTGATTTCTGAATCTGGACATTATAACTACATAATTTAAGAACATTGACTGCTTAGCAACAAAACTATTTGGAAACAATGGTAGAACATCTCAGGAATGTCCCTTCAATATTTCGGTCACCTTGAATCATTTAAAATAGGGCGTGAGGTCAAACAATTTGGCAGGACCTCCGCATTGTCCGTTAATAACGTAAATTATATTAAGAATTTGTTGTGTCAAAGTTCATGCCCATAGCGCGATACCTAATCAGAGTAGGATGTACCTATTAATAGGAAATATGATTATGTGTTTGAATTACGTATGGCACTTAAATACAGGGACGATTACTATTAGATTATTTTTTTACATGATAAAAGCGTCCGTCAATCATGCGAGCTTCTTCTTTAATATGGACTTCACTGATTACAACAAATAAAAAAAATAACAGCTCCCAAGTACCTGTTTACACCAATAATTATTTTATAGAGTTATTTTGAAGAATTAGTTTATTTGATGGGACGCGTTTATTTCAGGTACCATTGGTTCGATTTAAATTTAGTTTTTGTGTTGGACAATCCATTTATCGGGAAAGGCAATGTGCTATATGACATTACACCACGACCAAAAGAAATCCAGTAGCGGATGAAATCGCGCACGGGCAGCTAGTCTATACTAATATTATAAAGAGGTAAAATTTGTAAGTTTGTATGTAGGGGGTAATCTTTGGAACCGCTGGTCGGATCGCCAAAATTCTTTCACTGATAGATAGCTTCAATGTTCCTGAGTGCTATAGGCTATAAAGAATCACGCTACGATCAAATGGAGCTGAGCAGCGGGTGAAACTGCGCGAGAGTAGATGGTCTGAAATAAATGCACAATTCCACGTGCCGTCAAGTAGAGAAACAACACCCTGTTTATAATTTCGATCAATGATTTATAAATCGTGCACGTGATTAGAAAATGTAGGTCAAAAGTCAAGAGTGCTCGTGTACGTAAACACAATTAATTCATCAAGCTAGACGTTGTTTATATTTGTACCTATTTCGATGCAGTGCTTATGTACAATCATATCTTTTCTTACATAACCCCGGTCAAAGTAAATAGTACTATTTTCGATTTTCTACGAATCTTTTTTTGCTGACTATAGCCCAATGCAATGGCTAGTTGATTCATTGATTGTGTTCGAAACTAGATGACGTTGGCGTGTGTAATTTTCGCTGAAAAAAGAGCTAATACATTTCAACGTGGAATAATAGAAACGAAGTCTAGATCATTGTTTTTGGCATAGGTAGTAAATAAAGAGCAATCAGTTGACAAAGCTCATTACGATTGGCAGCGTCTTTATCGATCTATACATATAATTAGTGTGTACCTACCCATTTATGACGCCATGAAATACTAATTAAAACAAAAGTTTTGTACTCTATGCGTAGGTGTAATAATAATAAGTGACGAAAGACAGCACAAACAAAGTATTAATAAGTTGTATTTATCGTTGGAGCGGGTGTGTCACGTTAATATAGACAAAACACTAATAACACTTTTATCATAGCGAACAAATAACAATGAAACGAATAAGAACTACTGTGCACGGGTCAAAGGTCGAAACAGCTCGTCGTTAACCAATTCTGGACAAGCGGTCATCGAACTATGGGTAAATTATTACCGTAATAGGCTCATAACAAATGTACATGTATATTTCAGATGTTGGTATTAGGCAGGTTAGTAACACAGCTCTTGGTAAATGTTCAAATTCTTTGTATAGTAGGAAGAAGCCTTAGTAGCAATGATATTATAAGTAAAATGCTGGAGATAGGTTAGAATGTTACATAAACAACATTCGATTTTCAAAAACGGCACACAGATGCACACATGAACAATTCGTATGATTAGACGTCAAAGTGAGACGGCATGATTTAATAATCGCGAGTGAAAAAGAGACAAATATGAAAAAGAGTGGCTACATTTTAATGTATCACTTGCTGAGCGCTTATGACCTATCTACGCCTTTTTATTTATAATAACATTGCTTAGTAGACTATTTATTACTTGCCTATTAGTTAGATCCGTACTATAACGACGGACGGACATTGGATACTTAGTAGTAGGGTTTTTACCCATTAGGAACGTAACCATAAAAATGAGACGTAACTAAATTGATTTTATACTTCGATTTTGTTATTTATCCTATAGCCGGCTTTTAAATTTTTTATCAAGCGGGCGAAGCCGCGGGCCGAAACTAGCAACACCTAGTTATCAATACGGGCGGACATAGACCCTCTGTTCGTGTACTGAAGCATTAAGTATGTGCAACTTTATTTAGGTACAGTTAATATCGATTTTACTAAGTAGGTACGTTCCTCTATCTTGTAATTTAACCAGCTCAAATCGGTTATATTATCAGTTTTGTATATTATTATAGGAAGAAGTTTTACTTTACACACCTTTTTTAATTTGCCAATTTCTAGTTTAACGTAACGAGAAATGTCCTAAGTCCTTCTAGTTATAAAGGTCTGAATGGTACAGCCATCAAGGTGTATCTATGTATACATAAGAGTACTTTAAAGGGTAATAAAAGCGACTATATTTATATGTATATACACCACATAAATACCTTAACTGCCTCGTTAGTCTAATTATACGAGGTTTCGAGCTTCCGAAGATTTTGCGAGCTGGCAGCGGAAAGATGTCTGGATTTTGAATGTGAATAAAAATAATTCTAGGAAAAAATTGGCATAGGTAGCCGAACGTTGATAGAGTAGGCTATGAATCATACATTATTTGTATCTTTGTCTTATACCATTTTTTGTTGATGTAAATATTTTAACACGAATGTGGCAAAATAACGGTATCTACGCTACGCAATCTCTTGTTTTTCAATCGAATTAATAAAAATTTTGGGCGAATGTTTCCTAATGTCTGAATCCCTATGTATCAGATAAATATGAATATAGAAAGTATGTGTATGTACCTACCACATACAATTATAAGGAACTCATATGAAGGTTGTGAAAATGTGGAATAAGCTCTTAGCGTCAGTGTTTGTGGGTCCATTAGAAGAGTGACTCCATGAGAAATCTAGATTTTTAGCATAGGTATCTAGTTTTTTTGCCGATTCTCTGGTGAGATTCCCAGTGGTTGTGGTAAATTGCCCCCGTTGATTAAATGGGGCCATGGTTGGTTAAATAGTAAATAGTAGGCATTTATATTTTTTTAATACAAAAAGCCTTTATTCTTACTAAACCTTTTGAAAGGTCAAAATAGAATAACAGTCCGTCAGATCGTCTGTGGAACTAGGTGCGTATATAATGCACATGAAACGCGGACCACCCGGGATTCACAACGATCTATCAGACCACCACAGATGGGACCGACTAGGGCTGATGTCCAGCCGGGTTTACGGGTTCAAGCGTAAATATACCGCGGCTCTGGGCCGGAACAGGCGAAGGAACGGGATGGTTTTTAGTCAGTAAGAGTCTGACACTCCCTCCCACCCCGGACGGGAGAAGTCATTTGATGATTTTCGCCCCTCAACAAAAAACGCTCATGTAGGTAATATCTATGGAGATATTTTAGGAATATAACATCACATGCATTAGATGTTAAGCCATATTAAATAAAATGTGTATGGTTGGGGTCTAACTACATATTTCCGTACGCGCGTACCGTCAAGGATGCGGCTGTCAGGAGTGTACTCTAAAAATATCTATGTACCTACCTATACATTTTATACGTAGACGGGTACTTATGTAGCAACTTTATCAAATGACAAGAAAAGGACACAGGATAACGTCGTTAGACCTGTTTGTTGTTATTATCAAATCAAGCTAGTATAAATATTTATACTGAAAATTGTATTCTAGTACCTACACAAATAGGTACAAACTTAATAAGTTCATTCAGTTCATTTCTTATTATGATTTTCGCCCGTAAATGACTAAAAAAGTTTTTACGTGTAGTACAATTAATTTATTAATCGAAGTTTATTTTGTATTGGCTTGATTGATACATCCAAGTTTTGTTTTATTAGTCACAAACAGTAGATGTAAATTATGTTATTATTTCACTTATCACACATATTTTTATGCCAGATATTTCAGCATTTATATGGCTCGTAATAAAAAAATTCGAAAAGCTATAATATGTGAACTGAGGAGATTTTTTGTGTTAGTCACAAGGTGATCTGAAGTTCAATGCCCTAGGGTTGGATGGCCCGCGATGACCTTTCGTACTGTTACAAAGTATTCATTCGGTAATATCGTAAACAATAACTTTGTGGTGACATTTTGTAAGTGCTTAACTGTTATTTCCCACCTTAACATTTTAAAGACAATTTTTAGTCTGAAACATTCATAGATAGGTGCTATAAAATGTTTCGTCAGGGGAATAACTTTTTAAATGAGATGTTTTTGCGCCATAGTATTTCAGTTTATACTAATTCCCAGTAAGAAATATCAATCCTACCATTAAACCCACGAGTTATATTCGAATTATGGCAAAAAAACTCGTTTACTATAGAAACTAA